TATATATATATATATATATATATATATATATATATATATATATATATATATATATATATATATATATATATATATATATATATATATATATATATATATATATATATATATATATATATATATATATATATATATATATATATATATATATATATGTACATATATATATATTATATATATATATGTACATATGTATATACATGAAAGGAAAACTATACCCAGACTTAGACTAAGTGATGAAATGGGGTGAGTTTTAAAACAAAAATACACACATCTTCATATTAAGTCTGGTTTATAAATTGTGAAACTTGTGAAACCTTAAATATTTGGTGAATTAAAGTATGTTATCAGCTTTCTTTATTAGATCTGTCCTTGATTTCATTAACGCCGCTGCAAAACATGGTACAGGTAGATGAAATACTCCTAATGCTTGTTATTGAAATTTCTTGATCGTTATAAATAATGGTCAGTCATTCTTTCAGTGACTGTGATACTTATGAAATAATGCTGTAGAATTTGGCAGGTGGTAAACTATGATGGTCATCAAATAAAGAGTTTTTGCGCTAAATACTAGCTTAGAAATGATGTTAAAAAATTAGTGACATAGGAAGTTACCTCTTCAGTGATGCATTAGTAATATCATTATTAAGAATTAAGGATGCATCATCACGTATTGTCCATAGAACTAAATTAAGTTTTTATTTCAATGTCGTCTGTATACTTTTGTGGCACAACTCATTTGCTTTTTAAGCTTTTCAAGGTTATTTCTAATAGTTTTATTGTCAGTGCTGACTAAAGAAAAACTAAAGTTTAGATAGAAAACGATATGGGCACTAATAGTACAATTTCTCCTGCAAATGAAACGCTGGAATATGGGAAGCAATTAGATCATGAAAATTGGGATGAAGCGAACTCCTCTTTCACTTCCGCATACAATGAAACTTCAGTAATCAGTTCATCTTATTTATAATGCAGTATATCATTTTTTGACAACATATTATCAAATTTGATATTGTGAATTCCACTTCATGAACTTATCATTTGAAGAGAGATACTTTTAAAACCAGAAATGAATTTACATCAATTTTTAAGGATCAGAATGTTGCACATAATGTTGAGGAAGCAAAAAACGTAAATCCTCCGGAATGGACTTCTCAGTGGGTTCAGCAGGTCAGTTAAATCCCATGTTTATTGAACTGATTCCAGTCGACAAGATGGAATTTATGATATTAGAATTTTTGTGCTATTACTTCTAGGACGTTGAAGTGGTCGATTCGGAACCTAATCCTATTCGCGATAGTCATCATGCGGGGTTGTTACCTCATTCACCGTGTTCGGTAAGAGCGTATGAAACAGTTTTAGAAGTGGGTATTCTATAACGTTTCGGGGTTTTTACTTCGCATTTCAAAAAACATGTATTTTGAGGTAGTTATCCCTAACA